TACGTCGTAAAGTGGAGAAAGACATAAGAAGAATGAACAAGAAGTGGACGGAACTGGAAAAGAAGGCCCAAAACAGAGTGGGTTGGAGAATGCTGATCGGCGGCCTATTCTCTATTAGGAGTAACAGGCCTAAGTAAGTAAGTAAGTAAGTAAGTAAGAAATCCACTCATTTGTAGTCGAGTGAATATTAAGTGTTGAGATCGACTAAGCTTTTGTGCCACAGATGTACGTGACATGGTGTTTTAAAATGCTTTCGGCTGAATAACTCTTTACAGGATGGTAAAAAGTGAGTGGTGATCATGTGATTATCAGGGGGAGCAAAAGTTGAAATCAAGGGGAGTACAACACCCAATTTATGTCTATGACAATGGCATGAATCTTTTTAAGTAGTGGGGTAAATCCGACTGTGATGTTTTCACTGTGCAGAAGATTTGCTTGATTACTTATACCGAGGATTTGCATGCATAGTTGTGTCGCTAATTAGACCGACAAGATTCCAAGACATTTACTGAATGAGAAACTGATAGAGAAACATATTGAAATCATCTATAGTGGATGGAAATGACCACGAGAAGAGATCTGGTGATAAACAAATTCAATTTGTCAGCCGAGTATGCCAATCGTTTCATTACGGTTATCAGTCATCTTACGTGATTGTCTAGTCCTGATAGGAATTTATGACGATATTCAAAAGTGAATATTTAGTTGGTGTTGATTAGGTGTTAGCTAGTTGAAAATGGGCATTGTTTTTTTATGTGATTCGAAAATATCAGAAGTTTTAGCTGCTCCATTACATTACAAATTGTGATCCAAATGTATTCTTTCACTTACTGTCAATTTTGATAGTAGTCTCCAGCTCTTGTTTTCAATGCTTGCTTGACTATCAACTACGTGATAGTCTGTTCATTATGTCAATGAAGCATGATAGTGCGTTACTGTGGTGACCTGATTAACTGAACTATGTTACACGTCTTTTTAGGAGACGAACAAGACAACAAGATTTGTAAACCCAAATACGTCTAGCAATAACGACCACGATAGGCTCATTGGAAAATCTCAATGGTGGTTCACACAATTGCTAAATGCAAATGGTATGGAGATGATATAATTTACAGCATGTACAGAACAGGCTAAGATATACGATGGTGACGAATATAACAATTTAAACAAATTTGTGTTCGGACATGATCTATTGGACTACAGTTAAGAACATGATGAGTTTAATGAAGAATTTTTATTAGTTGTTGCTGTTTTAAGCCTTGTAACATTCATAAAGTTGTAACAATAATAGACGGAAGTGGGAGGTTTCGAGTTAATTGTGAGTCTTAAATAGATCCCTCCTGTTTCTGAACGGTCGGTAATAGTCTTTAGCTTTTTTGTTTCGTTCTAGTTATTTTCGCATTCATGCCACCACTACAATCCACAGGGAGTTAAGTCTGGCGAGGGGATATACTAGATATTGTACTAAGTAGCCTTTAAATTATTTATACAAGACTACTGGGTGTTGTTTTGATGGCTTGCCAGGTTTTAGGTCGCTTGATTATGGGCAAACAGTTTCCTGAATTATAAGCACTAGTCTTCTTTGTATATTCCCTGCAGTAGACCTTCAGATTTGGTTTATGATTTGGCTAGAATGGTTGAATTCTCACGTTACCATGGTGAAAGAACATAAGATCCCTGTTGTCTGTATGAATAAAAATATGTTTGAGTATGCGTGAACAACCCGTCCTACGTTTCCGGACATGGTGGTACCTGTTTGTGTTCTCCCATAAGCGGATTCAATTTTCTTGGTAATTTTGTTCTTGTTCATTCACCTTACTTTCGATTTCACGGTAGAGTGGTATCCATCACTTTGCCGATAACTTTAGTGTCATAAAGTCAAATCTTACTGCAACAATAAGTTATTTTTTCTCAATTATTTTCTATTTCATTTTTGCTACTAATTTGACGATACATACATAGTTTTGTATCCTTGTTCTGTGTTCATAAACACGCCTATTAAAGTATTTGCGTATCTCACGTCCCCATTATTTCTATTGCATTATTTCCTTCCTTTCCTTCTTTGAAGTTAGCTCAATAATCTTCTCAATTACCCATAACCTGATTTACTATTATTATTCCATTATAATTATTATTTCTTCTCTTTTTCAAATATGGCTGAAATTATTGAAACCTGTGTATTATTGCATCTATAACGAAACCCGAAATGGTTTCTTCACAACACTTATATACCCATAAGATGTTTGTGAATAATAATATTGTTATTTCCTTGTTTTTATACGGTACTTCACTGGCTTTCCCGATTCAATTCATTCAACCATTATTCTTTCGTGGTTTCAATATTTGCTTCCTTGTGACTGGCTGTTTGAATTCATTGAATCGACTTATCATTCTATGGTGGAATTACATCTTCATATTATTCGTCGCTTTTTATCTACTAACAAATAAGATCTCTCAAAGTTCGCACTTATTGGCCCAGGGCTTCGATAATCTATCGCGGGCTGATGCAATTACAGCTCATGGCTAGCAGTTGTGTTTTTTTCAAGTTATTATTCGGGGTTCACGGGCATTTTATCCATGCATTCTTGATCCGGTTTTCCACCGTTCTACCATAAAGAAGACGCCGATTACTTCTAAATTAGTATTGTTAGGAAACCGAAACTTTTTCAACATAAAGGTGGTATATTCTTGGCTGTCGATAACTCTCACAACAGTTTCTGCCAGCATAAATCGACATGGCGACGGCGTGCCGTCCCATTTTCTGAGAACTATAGTGTCACATGACGCCTTTAGACTTTGTGGTATTATGGTTTGGAAATATTTTGCGTCGTTATAAAAAACCTCTGCTTGAAAAACTTCCCTTTGACTTTCGTATTATTCTTCAAGTGTCTCAGAATTGTAAGAAATGGAATTCAACGTTGCACTCGTCGACAGTTTCACTCGGTGACTGGAAGATTTAGGCGAAATGTCAATCATCGGTCATGTAAGTTTACACAGGTCTAACGACCGATGCTGTTGAACCGGTCCTTAGGGTCAATATTTTATCATACTCAATCCATTTGTGAAGCATTATTAATAACTATAATATCTGCAGTGATCTGTTGTCCAACATTGAAAGGATTACTGATGGAAGATACAGTGGTGGATACATTCACCAGCAGATGGAGTGGACTGAACACGACAAACGCACATAGGATCTGGTCATCATTCAAATAATAAGAACGAAAAATATGACCACTACATAATATAAGGAAGAACGCAAACATGAGCTCATATTCTGATGTTCATATTTGAACGAAAATTTGTCACAGTTAACTACCACACCTAATCACTGTGCATTTGCAAAAAAGCATATGTTCATCTTTTTGGTGATAGAAGATCTTCGAAGCTCATGAACGTGATGCACACTTTTCCAGCTTGGCAATTCCAAGTTTTGGTATTCGGCACTTGCTGACCTCGTTTTCCAGGTTTTTATAGTTTACTGATTATACTGAGTTACTGAGGCAATGAATTTTAGCTATATTGTGAATAATTAGTAATAAATTGCCTGTGAGCCATTGAAGTACTCGTTGATATAGAACCACTTAGCAAATAGCTTCTGGACGAACAGTCTAGAGTTTTATGCTCAGTCGTTCGCATAGTAAATTGGATCGTTGCTCAAGAATTATTTGGGATGATTTTTGTGCTTTTCGCAACACGACAGAATTTGGAAATGACAACAGATGAACGCTGAATGCGTGGCGTAAAGGTGCCATCATTTCCGCGAGCAGGCCCTGAGTTTGATTCCATAGTTAAAAGTAGTTATGATCCGCTCAATATCATGTAAATATAAATCAACTCTTCTTCCGTTAAAACCTATTAGCAAATTGCGCAACGTTATTAACCAGATGTTTATGAAACTAAGGGTTGATGTACTTGAGCATCTTTGGTAGCATACAATTTCAGCACAAACTTCATTTATGAGGCGCTTACAGTGGCTAGGTGATGGGATTAAAACAATTTATTTTGGCATGGCATGGCATTGGCATGGATGGCGCACAAGTTAGTGTCTTCGAAAAGTCCAACAAGGTAGGCTTCGCTAGCTTCCTGAAGGGCAGAAACTGCAGAGCTTTGGAAACGAAGGTCGGTCTTAAAGTCTTGGGCAATCTCGCGCACCAATCGCTGGAAGGGCAGTTTGCGTATCAGTAGTTCGGTTGATTTTTGATAACGACGAATCTCACGTAGAGCAACTGTTCCAGGCCTATAACGATGAGGTTTCTTAACACCACCAGTCGCTGGTGCACTTTTACGTGCCGCCTTGGTAGCTAACTGCTTTCGCGGAGCCTTCCCACCCGTACTCTTGCGAGCCGTCTGTTTCGTTCGTGCCATAACTGTGTGTTTTGATGGCTTACCTGAGCTGCTATTCCTACCAAGAGCCGGAATTGATAAAGTAAATCATACCTGTCTGGATTGTAGAAGAAAGCCTTCTAATTTGGCAGGCATTTAATTTATTTACTTCAAATGAGATCTGTTGCACCGTAAATTGAGTTCAGTGATATAGGACTGAAGATGGCACAGGTATTCAGTGTTTGACAACGCTTTTACCAGTAACACCTTCTAATATAACCCTTACCCACCAACAGAAATCAAAAGACAGAATTGAGGAGATCAGAAGTTGTATTTGACGTTTGCAAGTATATCGGAACTGTCTGATCTAGTCTGGCTAGCCATTGCAGTGGATGCTGAGCACGGCGTTCCCACACGTGATCTGGTGCGGATGCATGACCGAGCGCCTTCAGCTAGGTGAGTCCATTAAGACATGTGGTCGGCATTCAGTGTTGAAAACTTACAGAGCTATTTATTTTGGGGATTTATTTACCACTACAGGACTATTAGATAAAATACACTGAATACAAATATGTACGTCAAATGTTTGCTTGACGTCTATATTCACTTGTATATTGTCTAGAATGTTGATAGTCTACTGGTCTTTGACACTGTTGATGTCATCACAGAAATATTTGAAATCTACCCATAAAATAACTTTCGGTTCATTCAACTTTCAATGGTGATCTAATTTTTTCAAGGACGGGAGTCATTGAGGATTGTGGTTTTGGCGGCTTCATAATGACAGAGGTTCTACCGATTTCTTTGGTGAATTTCAATGCAGATAGTGGTTATTTAGAAGGTCTAGCACGTGGAATTAAGGGTGGACTTCTAAAGCAAGCTGATTACCACGTGCTAGTACAGTGTGAAACATTGGATGGTAGGGATTCGTCAATTATGTTTTAGTGTAATTCCAATAATCAGACCTAAAGCTCCACCTGCATGATACTGACTATGGGGAATTTCTCGCCAATGAACCTGGACCTTTGACTGTGGGAATCATTGAAGAAAGAATTCGCGAAAAGTTTGTGTCTGAGTTCCGACACATACGCAACCAAGCTGTATACCCATTATCTTTATTCTTGGATTACATCACATACAGCTATATGATTGATAATATCGTGCTTCTGATAACAGGGACTCTCCATGGAAGGCCGATATCCGAACTTATGACTAAATGCCACCCTCTTGGAACATTTCTGGAAATGGAAACCCTGAATATTGCAACTAACCCAGCTGAGTTATACAATGCTGTACTCGTGGACACGCCTCTAGGTATCGTTCTAATCGTGGTTTTATTTCTGTAGCTCCATTCTTTATTGATTGTATTTCGGAGCAAGACTTAGATGAACTTAATATAGAGATAATACGTAACACTTTGTACAGGGTATGTTAATCTTTTTCCACAACCTAATTCTGTAGGCGTATATTGAAGATTTTTATGCCTTCTGTAAGTCACTGGGCGGAATTACTGCGGAGGTGATGTGTGAGTTGTTGGCATTTGAAGCTGACAGAAGGGCGTTTATCATAACAATCAATTCATTCGGAACAGAACTCTCAAACGAAGATAGATCCAAACTTTATCCTCGCTGCGGAAAACTTAACCCTGAGGGGCTTGTTCAGCTTGCTAAGGCTAACGATTACGAACAAGTAAAATCCGTTGCAAGGTATTATTCGGTAAGTCCTTTTTAGCTCTTTGCTATTTACACTGCACAAATGAACTTTGTTTAGCAGTACATAATAATTAAAACTTGTATCGATTTTTCAGATGACCGCAGGTGGTACGAATAATTTTCTTGATCTCTATAATGTATCTCTGCTATTTGGTTTTGGATTTGTAAGGGCTGCTCGATAATTGTCTAGATATTATCTCAAACTTCTGGTTAACGGAATATTTATCATGTCATTCAATCGCATTTTTATGTTCGTACATCAATCTATACTTTCCTCTAGCTAGATTTAATCGCAAATGGGTTTTAGGAATCCTGTAGAAACATAATTTATACCTCTACATCACGCCTTTTATTTATCTTTGTTTATCGTCGTCCAATGGCTAATATCATTTCTTGATATTTAAACATACTGTTTTCATTATAGATCTTACGTCAGGATTATGATTCAGTACTATCCCAGACAAGCCAAGAAATTTGTCATTTTCAATAATTGTTACTATCTACAACAATGCTGTAACTCATTTTTACCAATTTTATCACTACTCCGATGCTCTCCGTCCACTCACTGGAATCTTGCGGACACTTGTGATTTGGAATGTTATTATACTCAGATACCTATCAGTGCGTTGTAACGTTTTTGATGTAGTTCTGAGTGTATTAACTTAGCTCTTGCTAACCTCGATTTATTTCGGTCTCCGCCTTAACTTTTGACATGAGAATTAATGCATAAAATATTTGATTACAGACAGCTGGGGTGATACTAGGATTTGTCATAGTTAAGCACAACAGTGAAGTATTTTGCATTAAGGTTTGTACATGTCTTCAACCCACAGTAGACATTATCTCCATGCTCTTAAACTCTGTGAAAAAGTACTGTAGACGTCCAAAATAGATTACCGATTGAAGTCTAACTGATGTGGGCTTCCCTCCCTCTGAATAAGTACTATGACAATAAAAATCCCAAAAAAGTAGCAACCAATTTTCACAAATTCTCGAAAAAGCAGTACCAAAATCAACAAATCGTTTAGGTGAATTGAAGTAAATAAATAATTTTAAATATAGAAGAGTAAAATTCATTAGAAGCTAACATTCCTGTATACTAGTCGGTGGGTCGAATCCGTTGTATAAAAGATGATGATGATACTGCTTAGTGGGCTAAATATCAGCAGATTAAAACCTAAATAATTCTGACTACTGATTAAAAGTTGCAGCCTAACATTGATAAACTAGAGTTTCATAGCCTTATGAGTTTTCCAACCTTAAAAAATATTTATGAGTGATTCAGAGTGCTGAAGTTTTTAGTCAGTTAGCTACAACGTAGGACCAGGCACATATATGCATCGGTCCAAGTTGTCACAAATTATTCATTTATTTAGTCACAAACATTGGTACATGGAGGCACTAAATAGGTATGCGCCACATAAATCATTCGATTTGTGTGAGGGCTGGGATACTGCCCGGGTGCCTAAACCGAAAAAGGTGGTTTACTTAGGTGGCCACATTCCGAGAATTGACCTAAAGATCTAATCCACAAGGTAGTAGAGCAACGTATGGAGATGCAGTCACATGGTTACTGGTGGCCAACAATTGGTTCATACGCCGTTTGTTCCTTCAGGATACTGGACAAAGAGTGTACAAAGCAATTTTAGTCTCACGGTTTAAGGGAAGACAGGGAGTGTATACACCAACACCATTGTGATCGATTCGGAGCCATGTCATCCAGTCTCCACCTATTAGTTACGATGGTCACACGGACCCCAACCAAGTAGTTTGCATCTATCAACATGGCTCAAACCAGAAGTTAGTGACTTTATGGATTATGCCACGTTTTGGTTTGGCCACACTTAAATTTCTTCCATCCATCTCCAACACTAGTCAGCATAGAGCGCCGTGGTATTCGGTGATTGGGCATACGTAATACGTCGCCCAACCACCTCAGTCGATAAATATCCACAACCTCTTCAACTGGTTTGCCATCATTCCCTAATACCATGCATCTAACCTCACTATTACTTACCTTGTGATCCCAGCAGATGCGAGCAATATTTCCAAGACATTTGTGGTTAAATACTAGTAACTTGCGAATAGTCTCTACCCTTGATGGCCACGTTTCGCAGTCGAAAAGTAGAATCGAACGAAGTGCTGCACAGTATACTTGTCCTTTTATTGATAGACGGATATCTCGCATTCGCCATAGGTGACGTAAGTTGGCAAAAACTAAACGAGCTATTTAAATTCGTGCAGAGACTTCGTCAGACACCAACCCATTAAAGCTGATCAGACTTCCAAGATAAGTGAAGTTGTCGACGCGTTTGACTACTTCACTCCCTATCCTTAGTTCGGGTGTTGACTCAAGTGGGTCCTAAAGTAACAACTTGTATTTAGAGGGGTAGAAACGCATTTTAAACACCCTGACATTGTTGCTCAGTGCTATCAAAAGACCCTGCATTTTATCTTATACTTCTAAGTCAATAAGGGGACCTCCTGGTTGGTCTATGTCCGAAAATTCAGTCGACGAGAACGTTATTTCTAGCAGTGGGTCTATGATGAAATTGAACAAAAATGGTGATAGTGGACAGCCTTGTTGGACACCACTTGAGATTACGAAATCCGATGACAGTTCTTTATAAGCTCTGACTCGGTTGGTAGTGTTCGAGTAAAGAACCCTCACAAGGTTTACGTACTTCTGAGGTACACCTTTCAATGACAGGTACTGCTACAGAACCTCCCGGTCAATGGAGTCAAATGCTGCTTTTAAGTCAAGAAAAGCTGTCATTGTTGGATGCCGATGAGCATGCCTGTGTTCTAGAACTCGGCAAATGTTGAACATGTGGTCGATGCAGCTACGACCAGGTCTGAAGCCAGCCTGGTTTCCTCTTATTTGTAGTTTACGATTCTTAGGTAGGCGTCCGATAATTATTGAGGAGCGGCCAAACCAAAACTTGGCATCAGTGCTTGAAGTCACTAGCTTCTAGTCCTAGCCGTGTTGGTGGATGCAGACTACTTGATTGGGATCCGCGCGGCCATCGTAACTAATAGATGGAGACTGGATGACATGGCTTCGAACCGATCACAATGGCGTCGGTGTATACACTCCCTGTCTTCCCTTAAACCGTGAGATTGAAACTGGTTTGTACCTTTCTTTCTACGAACCAGTTCTTTCTTGTATTATGTTCTTATTTGCAATCTTTCTTTTATATATAAAGCTGTTTGGTGTTACCTACGGCAGCTGCCTTTCCATTATCTTTTGTTTTCGTTGCCCCCCACTGCTCACGGTCGTTTCTTTGTCTTTTGATTAATCTATATCTGATTTGTTCTCGCTCATCGTCATGTTCGAAGCCTGATGGGATAAGTTTACGCGAGTCTATCAGTACAATAGATGCAGCGGAAACCCATTGGTTTTTCGTAAACGTTTGGTTTAAATCACTAATAGATTTCGCTGCTGTTTCCACAGCTGTTCGTATGTATTTGCAAGCAACATCTGGGTCAACCATGTTTTCAAAATTACCTTTGTGTGATTCCACGTAGAAACATTGGTACAAGGGAGCACCAAATATGTATGCGGCACATAAATCGTTCGAACCGTATGATCTCTGGGATACTGCCCGGGTGCCTAAACCGAAAAAGGTGGTTTACTTAGGTAGCCACATTCCGAGCCTTTGACCTAAACATTTAATCCACAAGGCAGTGGAGCAACGTAAGGAAATGCAGTCCCATGGTAGTCGACGACCAACAATTGGTTCATACGCCATTTGTTCTTTCAGGACATTGGAGCCCATGAGCATCGTTGGTTAGGAATCAGGGTTTTCCAACTACTCTATGTGGATCCTCCGTATCCACCAACCTGGTTCAAACGCGTGACATTCGCTTTTCGTCTTCTCGATTTCGTACACAACACCCCTGCTACGGAAAGGCAGTGAGTAGGACTTCCCTGACAGTGTTTGTATGCACGTGGCCTCTTGAGAGCATTTCGAAATGGAGTGCATGCTATGTGTGATTTTATTTGTTCCTGGAATTTACCTTTGGCTTTTTCAACTCTTATTGATCCTAATGTGGCTTTTCTGCTTCTATTAGGGCGCGAGCAAGTGCGTGTTCGTGTTAGATCATGATCACATCGTAAACATGTACTCCAGAACGTGCGGGAGTCTTCTCTCTAGCTTCTAACGATCACTGATGACAATCTGGTCTGTTTGAGTCCATCGTTATTTTGGTGCACGGGGTCGCCGCCATGTTAGACAGTGTCTCGCCTTATGCTTGAAATTAGTGCTTGGTAAAAATGAACGATTGTCTGAGCACAAATGCAACAGACGGTCACCATTATCTGTTCGTTGAGCCGGAATACTAAAATACCCACTTAAATGTCTCACTTGGGCATTAAAGTCACCTGATACGAGTACTATGTCTGAGCGTTTAGCTTTTTGAAGAAGTTCAAAAACCTTTCTGTAAAAGTCATCTTTCGCCTAATCTGAACTTCAGTCTGGGAGTGTAGGCGGAAACGACGAAAAGACAACGACATGTGTTCCTATCCTTTCGAGAGCTATGTAGACAACCGTCAGTCTACAAGAACTAGTCATCTGGTCGCCAGATGAAAGAATGGTGTATCTTGTCGGCTCTCCGTTTTGTCGTGGTGAGGTCAAGTGAATGACCACACTAGGATCATGTGTATGTGTTTCGGAGACACAGCATAAATCAGTGGTACGAGATTCTGGAATTTTAGCCAAGAAGGTCTGTTGGCCGATTTGACATTGGGTGCGTAAGTTGAGGGTTCTGATGTGTAGTTTGGAGCGTGGTTTCAGTAGACCTGGGAAAGTGTTTCGCTTACTAGAATCTTTGGCCGTGGTGACACTTGAGGAGGAAGTTTAGAGTTGAAAGTCTGGGTAGGAGGAATAATATTAATTGAAGAGGGAGATTGATTATGAATACAGTGATCTTGAGTGCTGTTAGAGGTGTGAGGGCGGTTATTACTTCCCTGTTGTCCACACCGTGGAAGGGTTTTTCCAGAGGTACTTGAAAAGAAAATTGGGTTAGGGGTGGTCTTAGTGACCTGAGAGCGTATCCGCAGTGCCCAATGAAGAACTGCTTGAGGTCGGTCACACACGACCTTTTTGTGAATAATTTTCGTGTTAGCTCCGTGCTTGTTGGGACCTTACCGCCGGAGACGGAAATCCGTGGGATAAGGCGAGGTGTGTGTTTTTAGGGTCGACCTTTTCTAACCCCAACCCTCCTTGCGAGAAGGCAGTATCGCTCTCATGCTGGTTGTCTGAAGGAAACATTTTACTGCCGTCACACCTCTGTAAAGTCAGCAGTACGACTTCGTCCTCGAACCTTGGGTTTGCTACTTTTAATCTTACCGACCTGTCTGGGATGGTAGGACTTTGAGGAAGAATTGTTCCAGCCAGTACAGCTCAATTGATTCATCACGATAGGCAAGCCCGACCACCACGTCAAGGTAGCGGCAACGGTTGGAGCTGAAATTCTGATTAGTGAGCGTCAATGTCTCATTCACGTAATAAACCATAAAACTGTCAAGATATTTTTTGAAATTTTATTTCCTGGATTTAGTTATTAATACAAATTTTGCTAGTAGGTATAGTTATGGATTTTTCGAAGCAGTTGGTACGATTTCGGAACTGGGAATAAATTGTAGGATATTGGTAATCTCTGTCTTGTTGAAACTTCAAGGTAATAAGTACTTTTGGTTCACTTTGTAGATATTGTTGTCGTCAAGACGAACGAACTCAGTTATCACTTCAAAGTAGAAAAGGGATTGGTTTAAAATATCACAGCAATGAGCATGTGCTGAGTTTTGTAAGTTATAACAGGGTCTGGTTACAAATCTCTTTCACAACTATTAGTTGACTAAATTGTTGGACTATATTCATCAAGCTACATGGTTCTTAGCAACTTATGTGTACTGACTTCCAGTACCTGTATAGAATTCAAGTGTATTATACAACTTTCAAATGGTCAGCACTAGATATTTGAACATGCAAACTGCGAGTGCTCCAAATGGGCAGAGATTGGTTTCAAGGGAAGTGAATAGTTATAACTTAGTATTTGGCGGCTAATATACCAAAAGATTACGTTGGATTATAAAAGGATAGATAACTTCTACGAGTGTCCCTTGAATCCAAAAAATATCAATGTGAAATACAGTATTCATCAGTTCTTGAAATCATGACATCATGCGTGATTTAAACTTTATAGCGGCTGTTTAAGATTTTTTAGTCGGAATTACTTTCCAAGAATCTAATTATGATAACCTTACTCGTTCGCATGTAATACAGGAAGGGTCACATCTCGAGTTTTCAACAAATCACGATCAAAGCTTTTTATTATAGAGCATGCACTAACTAGTTATTATGCTTAATTTTATCCTTCAAAAGTATTTATATTTCATGATATTAATTGTTTAGACTCGTTTTATAGTTAATCTTTAAAACATATTCTTACTTGTACGCTACAAACCTACCCTTCATCTCACGTCTTTACTGTCACAAACTAAACATCACTTCTGTTCAATTTAACCATGTTATAACTTGTCAGTGGAATGCTGCTTGTTTTGTCGTTTGAATGCTAATTGTTTTGGTTCTTTTAATGCTACTTTTTATATCTGGTCGTCGCTATTTGGTATGTCGGAAACGCTTATTATTTATACTCCGAACGAGGGACCTCTGCAATCCCCACGACGCGAAAGTAAGAACACAAAGACTGGGATAACTGAAGCTTTATTAACCCCCCAAACACAACGACGACGACCTCAGTCGAAAAACACATTTATGTATTGAATGTACACCCATTTTGATTAATAATTAGGATGAAATCACATATATGAAAAATACTTGTAGTTATGACAAGTCACAGACTGATTATAGTTCGTGTCAATGGAATAAAAGAATATCGTATATTATACAGAATAAAATATCATACGACAGAAGAAAACAAATAATACAGTGAATAATCGTCACATTGAATAAAAACGGAAGTAATGTTGAGTAAGAATCACAATTAGTAAATCAACCGAAAATTGATTTTTCTTCCCATCATATCGAACCGTAAGCCTCCTAACCATAGAGAAAGTAGGACCTAGCATGAATATGTATCCATCCAAGTTGCTGCATCCCGGATCGGCACTTCAATGAAGAAAGCTAATGAGATAATAAACAGAAGGAAAACAGTACCACATATTACAGTGGTAGGCCTAAAATAACAAACAATGAAAAGTATGGCATGACACAGCTCACGATTTAGAGGTAGCTAATGAGTATACCACTATGATCGATTTCGGGTTAACACATGATGTGAAAATCTATGGGACGACACATGTTAAGCGTAAATAAACCACTGAATCGAATGCTTCGAGATGGCAACGTTTATCAAACTACCAACTCAACTACTTATAAATAAATTGTCAGACTCTGGGATTACTCACATGATATGGGCGGTTCTAAAGCATCTACTATGGTTTAACGTAAAGATCGTCACCATCTCCCAAAAGCGTAAAGTAGGACTAACCAACCTATGGTACATCCTGCTTTTTCGACCAGATTGAATTCGCGACGGCCTAAAACGGTGATATTAGCCTATCTGGCTCTCATCATACCGAAATTGATTTCATTTGCTGCTATGCCAAAACCAGCATCCAGATAATTACACGGTTATACAAAGCTCTTGAATGCGTGTCTTCAAATACATCCAATGATATAAAATTATTTTACTATCATCACTTGTTGCCTCAGTAGTATCTTTTATTTCATAACAATTTTTCCACTGAACTTTTATGAGCGACGTTTCCACTTGTGCTTGTTTTTCAGAACTATTCCTCCTTGTTTGAAGAAACTGGCGAGGGCTTTGGAGATAAGACATTAGAAGATAAATTCTTTGAATATGAAGTAAGATATGTTCATTTATATCGGTTTTCCTTGTTTCCTCGCAGTTTATTTAGCTTAGGCATATTTTAGTCTGTATAGCAAGAAGGAATAAACTGAGTTGTGTCCCCTAATTTTCCACTCTAGAATATTCACATATCTAGACAGGTTCATTTATGGGACTGAGGTTACATGTAATTACCCCCATAATTGTATGTTTCTCATATTAACTGTGCATGAACGATAATTCAGAAGACATATATCGAAATAGTAGAAAATTAGTTACCATTTTGTATTCACAATTCGTTATTATCTCAGCTGTTTTAAATAATTCATAAATCAGAATGTAGAACTTCAGCTGCGCAACTAGAAATAGATGGGTATGTTTTGTTTTCCTACAGTAGGCTGTTCCTTTAAACGCTCCAAGCACCGAAGCACAATCACCAATTAATCTCGAAAATAACTACAAGAAATTCACTCGCAGAAATATTCTAGTAGACGTATGTAACATCCTTCTTGTTTGTATTTCATAGCTAAAAGAGGTCTATGCTTCAGAATTGAAATTTATTCAGTACATTTTTGATGCCACCAAAGGAAATAATATTGTGTATTAATTATCATTTCAAAAAAGTTAAATAAAAGAAATCGAAGCAGTATATCTTTTATAGGGAAAATTACAAAATAATCATCTAGTGTGCTATTGGTTTTATTTTTCACAGCAAGCATTGTCTTGTGAGGAAAACGTTAATGAGAACTCCCATCCTCCAAAGCTGTAAGACCAGGTCATACGTGGACAATAATAATAATAATAATATATATATATATATATATAGAGAGAGAGAGAGAGAGAGAAGTTACTCATCAACCAATTGGATTATCGGAAAATGTTCAGTGTCATCAACATGGTCTAGGATTTTCATTCTAACAGATGGAAACAAAATTGGATGTGACGTTTGTGTATGAGTCCATTAATGGCACCTCAAGTTGTGGTAAAGGACAACTAAATTGACAAAAACCTTTCTACTATTTTATGCAGCTGATCTGGCTAAATGATCAAACCAACAAACTTTCACACAACTTTACAAACTTAAAGTTCACTTTTTTTCTGTTTACTAATTTGTTTAGTAACAAAATTTCCTAATTAACTAATCCATTTTAGGTCCAATTGAATGTAGATGCCTTCTTACAGCAGTTTCATTATGGTATATTCTATGCCCTTCTTAAATTAAAGGAACAAGAAATGAGAAACATTGTTTGGATTGCGGAATGCGTTTCTCAACGTCATCGTACCAAAATTGACTCTTATATCAATATTTTATGACATATGTTTTGTTGGAAAACTATTCCACGCTTAAAATGCGTTCTAAGCATAATGTTTTTGACTATTATATCTTACTTTGGATTTATTTATAATTTAAACTCGTTAAAAATTTACGTAAATTATTTTTTCTGTATGATTAATTCCAAGTGATTATCAAAACGTTTAAGTCGTCTGAATCATTAATATCAATTTTGAGATTTCCTTTCGCAACTATCATTTTACTTGGATACTTTCATTCTTTCTCCTAACACCTGGTTCTTTGTTAATGTTGTGTTGGAATGTCAATAAGCTATGTTGCAGTTCTCTGAATTTTGTTTAACTAGGTTTGTACTTTAAGTGTCACACTAGTTGTTAGTGACGTGAATTAATTATATTAACTTCTAGTACAGTAAACACCTAGTTTTTAAACTAAGATTTTTTCACATGCATTTCTATTCATTACTGAGTTTCAGTTTTTATGTGAAGAAAGTCTCTGTTTCTGTTTGTCAACACCTGAGATGTAACTCGACAAAAGCAGGTCAATATCATCATGAGTAATGTCTGCTTCTTGATGGGAAATCAAGATATTTCATCGTTGCTTAACAATAAGTTTGTGTTTTATCAATAACCACAGAATTCCTAACGCTTTCTAAGGGAATACTTCTCTAGAAAACGAAGGAATCCCTGATATATTTTAGAAATTAGTTTCAAGATAATGTGCTGTTGGTTCAACGTCACTGACATTTGGTTGCCAAATTAGTTACACCACAAACGGTCTTGGTGAATCACGTATACATCTCAGACGCTCACCATTTTATTACAATTTTACTCATTTCTCATTACTTCCCAATCACAAGTAGGATATGCAAAACGCAATGCAGAGGTTTGCAGTTTGTTTTACTTCTGAATGGTTTTATCAATTTGTCTTTTTATACCTCGTCGAAATTTAAGGTGTAACACAACTAATCGTGTTCTGAAATCTCTGAATTTAAAATGTTCCACGGCATCAGTGATCTAGGAAGCAGCAAGTTTCACTCTTTTGGCATTTGAAAAAGTGAGAATTACGTCGACCACAGACGTGTGCTATGTATTTGATAAGAACGGTAAATACTTAGATATTTCAAGTCCAAGTGACCTTGACCGGACACTTGAAATTTGTAACATTTTATTTGTTTGTGGTAAAAAGCCTTTTGCCATATAGCCGTTTGATAAATTGACCAGGTTTCAATTAACTAAATATTGTGTTAATCTGAATTATTCATTAAGATATCGAGAATAAGTATTTCATATACATGTGTTGAATAATCATTCCATTTGGTTATATATAGTCGTATAACTTCTATGTATATCCATATCCCTTTATATACTACTTATGCCGATATAAGTATCACACCACAGAATGTCTATGTTCTTACGTACCAACTTGGATGAAAAAAACAAATAAATTGTAGGATCAAACCTCTTTTTTGATATTCATACATATCTTTTGAGTATACCATTACGATACTCATAGCTGGAAATTCCTGTGGATGTTAATAAATCAAACCGTAGTATCAGGGCAGCCACTTCATGTTTTTCTCGACGATTGTGAAGAAGTGGTCTGTTACGCAACACGGACACCTACACGCTCTGAATGCAATTTCAAAAGAATTGAAGTCTGTTTTTTGGCGACTAACAAGTTCCAACTGCTTACACTACTTCCTGGCCATAAGCCTATTTGTTAATTTTAGAATTTAAGAAAAGCTTTCCAGTTTGTGCAGCTAGTCGTCTCGAAAAATGGTTAATTAATGTACTGGACTCTGATTTTCGAAACAAGTATAGGTGCATTTCTCATGTCCTAGTGCTGAAATTAATCGCCTGTGGAAGCTTACATTGCCCAAATATTGAGGATATTGTGAAGAGAAGTTATCGAAATCATCCATAAAAGTAAAGCTACAGATATGGCCAGTACTAGTGTAATGAACAAAGACTCAGGTAGAGTAAATCAACATACTATATTAAGTAAAACCACACACCGCATCTGTAAGATATGACGACAATACACTGAATACATCATTTGCACATCTTCCTTGAGTTGTATCTTACAAGCCTAATCGTTCTTCAATTGTTGTTGCTACTCGCACTGCTTTTGTCTTTTCTTTTATGTTTTTCCTGTCAAAAAGAATCCTACCCCGAGTTCTTAGTACATACATCTGTCTGTGTAGGGAGTACATATCACATGAACAGAACCTTCGGTGTTTACACAAACTTTAATGGGCCACTTCATAGGAACGTTGAACAAACAACTATCGTAACATCACAAAGATCTCAATCTATTGTTTCGGACAATCAAACGGTCTACTTTTAGTCGGTTAAACTTCTGGAAAAACGTCAAATATGTCAGGCCCTCAAAATAACGGATATTCAGATGAAGGAACAATAAGAGAAATATTAAAAGTTATCAATCAATTCGAAAACCTACAACCTAATACAGAAAACAAGAAACCATGGGTAAGTAAACGGTTATGTCCAAACTGAATCTTCCAAAACGGTAAAAGTCTGGGTGTGGATCTTCCAAAGTTCAATTACACAAAATATCCGTAGGACAATAGCCAGGAAACGGAGTGTTCAAACTACCCAGTCAAAAAATATAAGAAACTTGGCAAAATACTGATACAAAAACCAGCAGGCAAAATAGCAATCTGACAAGATCTTAGTAAGCAAACATACAGCTAACCAGGGTTCGGACGAGCATGCAAAAGAATGACGGTTACCCACTCCTGCCCATATAAACAGGCTGGGAAAAGTTATAGGATATGCAACTTTGGGCTAGTACGTCTTTGTATTTATCTTTATTTTGCATCGTTAAACATTCGTTTGTTAAAATCCAACTAACTTGGAGCATCAGAACTTTCAGCTATTAGATAATATGAAAGTAAACCAAAATAAATCAAGGGTGTTACTGTCATCCATCTTCTAGTCATCTCGACGCCCAGCAAAAAAAACGCTGGATGTACGCAAAGAACTCCAATAAATTACAGGAATTGAAAGTGAAAACATTAAATCTAATTCAATTACTGTATTGAGAAAAATGAAAATGCGCAAAGAAACATGAGGAGCAAGATACAATTTAGGCTTCCTCAAACATTTTCTTCATCGTTGGCAGTGGCATCTTGACACTGCTGATATTCACCTACCAAATCATTCATATTTGATTCAGCCTCAGTAAATTCCATCTCATCCATCCCTTCACTGGTATACCAATGTAAAAACGCTTTACGACGGAACATTGCAGTAAACATTTGTTGTGTCAGTTCAGGCACAGTTAATGAGCGATACTGTTGACTGCCACGACTTGTCAGTGGAGCGAATCCTGGCATGAAGAAATGCAGTCGAGGGAACGGGACCATATTCACTGCCAGTTTCCGCAGGTCAGCATTCAGTTGTCCAGGGAATCTGAGACAGGTGGTCACGCCAGACATGGTTGCACTGACCAAGTGATTGAGATCTCCATAAGTGGGGTTGGTTAACTTCAGTGTTCTGAAACAGATGTCATAGAGTGCTTCGTTGTCGATGCAGAACGTTTCATCAGTGTTCTCAACAAGTTGATGTACAGACAGTGTAGCATTGTATGGCTCGACAACAGCATCGGAGACTTAGAAAAAATGAAACAAGGTGAAGTTATTTTCCATCTTCTTTATCCCAATTTTAGTGGCCCATGGATCAGACTCCATTCTAGATCGTACGAATGTTTGTTATCGCCTATTCTCGTATATAATCGTCGACTTAAATCACGTTAGTCAATAACGGAATCAAATGAGTCAAATAACGAGAATGGGATTTTGGATACATATATTTTGCATATGAGATGAATGGAAGAGAAGCGACGCAGAGTGGAGATAGCTGGTAAGCCAACTCATTTTTAGTCAGGCGTTAATCAATATTTATGGGCAGACAAACATAAGCTACAGACATGTGATGAATGGGATGGGAAGTGTACACACATGTGCGCTCATATGAAAACAATGAAGACTGGTAAGCGAATAATTAACAAGGTCAACATATGACTCAAGTAGAATGAATAGATTGGTTTGTCCGAAAACGAGGATAAGGCATATGGGCTTAAAGTAATAACCGACACTATACAATACATACAGTTCTCTACACTGATGTCATGATTATATCTTGGAAGGTAGCCGCGTGAAATTACAATTGTTTCTGCCGAAACAAAACTCTAGAAGCCACACGTAATGAACTGAACGACTACTATCATAAGATAAATAGAAATGATACATTCCTGTTCTCGAACAAATCACAGCACAGTGGAAAAAGTAACCAATGGTTTGTTTTCAGGTAATCTCAAATAACTCACTGTTGAGAACTACTACAACTACCACACTATTAAAGTCTCACCAATGAAAGGTGCTTTGCTTATAATGCTTGTGACTTAAGGCAATATTGGGGCAATCCGTACAGGATGCACATATGCTAATATGAGACTGATCAATCGCAATCCTAAACATTAATGGAAAGATCCAAACAAACAATATAAAAATGAATTAGGAGGATACTTCGGTTGTTGAAGTTGTGTTTTCATAATATTGTTCAATTTAGAAATACGTGATAAGTATGGTGGCTGTATTTTTTATGATTACGCTTCTACCCTAGATTTTACAATATGACCAATACTATTAAGCAAGTTTGAATATATACGTAGCTAGCTGTGACTTTGCACTTATTTATAAAATAAATTTGAAGTATTTCATCAGATAGTTTATCTTATTAAAGCTATCCAATACACTACAAGTTATATTACTTTTGTAGCATGAGACTCTCAGCTTGGGCAGTCTATTTACGTATTGATTTATAAAGTATGTACAACTGTCAAAATCAATCAAATAACGACTTAATACAATCTATACATAACTTGGCTTGAAAGTACCTACTTTGGGTGATGGGACTATAGAGAATGTATTTATAATCCTGTCAGGATATTCTCGAATTTCTGAAATTAACAGCGTCCCCATACCTGAGCCGGTACCACCGCCAAGTGATTGAACTAGTTGGAAACCTTGTAGACAATCACAAGACCCAGCTTCCTTTCTCACGTCTAAAATTGAGTCTACAAGTTCAGCACCTTCAGTATAGTGACCTTTGGCCCAGTTATTTCCCGCCCCACTTTGACCAAATACGAAAATGTCAGGATGGAACAATCGACCGAAGGGCCCTGCGCGGACACTCCATCGTACCAGGTTCCAGATCAGCCAGGAGAGCACGAGAAACATACTTTCCTCCACTGACCTTATTAAAATAAACATTTATGTGTTCAAGTTGTAGATCAGAATCACTGTGGTATGTTCCTGTAGGGTCAATACCGTACTCGTTCGATATTACTTCCCAGAACTGGAAATAAAATAGAGAGTTTAAAATGGGCACAAATTGATGAGTTAGTTAGAGGGAGCCATATGCAATGTATACGTTTAATTACCTTAGCGCCTATCTGGTTCCCAGACTGAACGTGCACAATTTCGCGCACAACGTCTAAAGACACAAACGATGAATGATCAGACTGATTAGTGTTTCGGATTGGCGTATTTATACCACTGCCTTTGATGAATTTAAGCAATACAACAAATCAAAAAAGCATTAGTTTTCCTACCGTTATTTCTTAATTCCTATTGGTTAGTTTTGACGTGTCATGAGGACGAAGATGCATGTCTGCATATATTGCAGAAAAAATATCCTTGAGAATTTTTTGGTCGTGGTCGTTAAGATTGACTTCACGAACTTTTTCTAAATGATGATTGTTTCGGTACCTTACCACCGTTTGGAAGAGCATAGGATTCTCAGTTGGGAGTCCAACAAGTAATTCATAAAATTAAATCAAATCGGTTTGGAATATTCATAGTAGTGGACATATTTGTAGAATAACGAAGGGCTTTGGTCAGGTCAGCCCTTACTCTATTTTTGTTACACTGTATTTGGTAAACACAGTACTACAAAGCTTTTGTTACTCTCATTGTGTGGGTGATTTCAAATGACCTCTCACAACCGTAATTATCACAATGTTGAAATATCCGCTGATTGCCTTAAAAATATTATCATTATTAATAATGGTTTAATTCAATATTATGTTTTTGGTGCAATATAGGATTCTCAGTACAAATATTTTAACAAGCTTCCTTTTCTAAAAAGAAAAAAAGTGAAAGAAACTGATAAGTGTATACAAATATGCGAAAGTTAAGTAAATTAACCACCTATAATTAAATGAAATGTTTTTTTTTAAAGATTTGAATCTGTACAACTTTTTGATTAGAAACATGTTCAAGAATACAAGTTATTGACTAGGTCAACTTTAACAATCTGTTCGTCACAGAGTATATTTGCTAGGTAAGGTATTGTACACCTTTTACGCTTTTGATTAATTGTATGGATTCTACTGTATTGATGTCTCGTTCTACCAGAAGATATACAAGGAGAAAGATATGAATGAAGTGGATGGTTAGTATCGGATAAGGTAACTCCTGCCAAGAGTTTGCAAGACTTTAGATGTCTATTCAAAAACACATTAATAGTGACTGTAAAAGATTCACCACACACCTTGTTAACTGCCTTCAGAACTCTCCACAAAGTCTTTTCTCAAAAGCCCGGGAAAAAAACAATAGAGAACAGTAAAGAATAGTAGGCAATATACATGAATTAACAAATCTTAAAAGTAAATGTTGAGTAATGTCAAAAGCATGTAGCCTCTTTATGCGGTAAGTCAGACGGACAACTTCTTAAACGATAAAACATGAGAAGAACAAGAGAGTTCAGAGGAAAAACTTATACTGAAATAAATAACCTTTGGCACTGTTTTTATTAAAGGACCTCTAGTAATACAATCTTTATGGGATTTCAGCAGGATGTTTAAGTGCTGTTTATGTCCCAGGTTAAAGTGTGAGGCGATTAACAACAGACCATTGGTCATTAAAAGGCAAGAACACATACATTTCAAGAGGGATTTGAAGAGGTAGAAATCGGTATAAATATAGTGAGATTTTCTGCATATTTGACAAACGCGTTTTCTGTGAAAGATGGCAGATCATGCAAAAAAAGAGGAAAGAACAATTTCTTGTGGCACACCATAAGTCAGTAGAAACTCTGAATACTTTCTTCTAAATACAGTGTACCGTTCTATTCCAGAGAGGGAGGAACACAGCTAGTTGTTTATCTAGCTGTCTGTTGACACTGATAAATATGTCAAGTAGTAACTGTCTTGGAATAGAGTCAAAGGCAGAATTATGGTCTAGAAATACTAATTGAACATACTTCTTACTCTTTTCCAAGCTCAACACAATATTATGATTCAGAATAACAACAGTATCTAAAGTGCTTCTTTTGGATTTGTCAGCAAACTGGTATGGGTCAATGTGCTCTTTTAGTGCAGATCAAAGTAGAAGTAGCAATAGTTTTTCCATTGTTTTAAGAAGAGGTGAAGGTATACATTTTAAATTCAACGTTCCATGCAACAGTGTAAAATCCTGAATCAGATGTTTAGGAAAATAAGTGAGTAATGGCATAAAGTTTAGCATGAAGTTTGCAAATCCCAAACACGTAGACTCTTTATATAGTAATTTAGACGAAAAATTTGTCGGAACTGACAAATCATGAGAAGAATAAGAGAGATCGGAAGAGGAAGTTCCACAAAGATAAATTACATTTGACATCTCAGAAGCGAAAAGTCAACCATTTCTAGCAGAATACTAACATTTTGACATATATAGGTAATGAGTATAAGACTATTCGAAAAGATCATTCAACGAATTGGAACTACTTTAAATTTCTTTCACGTATTCTGGGTAAAACTAGTCGAAAAAAATTGTCAAATAGATAACATAGGATACTATTATGCTACTTGATAAGAAAGCTAGAAATGTGATAAATCAAGGGACTAGAGACACTTTAAAACAACATTTTCGGTAACATTTTAAGCGCAAATTCCCCTTGAGCTCAAGGAATTAGAAATCATGGTATCACACAAATCCTTAATTCAGATCTCTCGGGTAAGCACTTTGTTATTAGGATAACTTTAATTTTCTGCCATGTAATTGGTGAAGCACAAGTTGGATTCTAAAAACATAATTTGAGTTGAGGAGTGTAGCTTTTCAACTAGCTTCTCATCATGGTTCAATAGGAATATTTATTTTCGCAATTAAACATGAAAAGCTTACTTACTTAATCCTGTTACCTCTCGTGGGAGCATAGGCTGCTGACCAGGATTCTCTAATCCAATGTCCTGGGCTATCTTTCTCAGTTGTTTCTAAATGTTATTAATTATTTTCATGTCTGCCCCCAATTCTAAAAGCTACGTGTTCGTGTGTATGGAATAGAAGGGTCAAGTAATCTACAAAGTCCAAATCGTCTAGTCGCATGTAAGATGTCCATTGCACTCCGTGTTTTCCCTCAGATGTGGAGGTCTTCATAATTCAGTCAATCACCAAAGGAAAGAGGAAGGTGGAGAGTAAGCAATCTTGTCTGAATCCGGTCCTCACTTGCAATGCATCTGTCAGCTGTCCTCCATGCACAACTTTGCAATGTAGTCGACCGTACGAATCCCGTATGATGTTGACAATCTTCTCATGTATACTATAGTGTCGAAGAACGTTCTTAAGC